CCCCCCCCCCCCCCCCGGCTACGGGCCTGATTGACATGGTATATTTTTAAGCTGTATTCTGTGGTTTAAAGGTTCAATGACTTGATCTAGGTGACAGCCAAAGACATGCACAGATGTGCACATAAAAATGCAACAAACTTATATGTCAACCAAAGATGACGCAACATCATGAAGACATTGCAAAGATACATGTACGTGTGTGTGGATGTAATGTAAGCAGCATTTTCAAGCATTTCTTCTTTTACCAAACAGAGCCACTCAGCAAATTTTGAATGTAATTATAAAAAATGCAGATCGAAACTTATGTTTTGGGATGAATACATGCAGACATTAAGAATGGTAATATCAATATACCCAATGATTTTTATACATAAAGACAAAAATTCAATAACTTTCATATAAAATAATCCGATCACCAGATTTTTGTAAACAGCTCAAATTTTTCCTAAAAAAACACTATAAATCAGCAGAGATTCACCATTCCTAATTACCATCGGATATCTGTATGAGGTCGTTACTAGTGCTTTTGTACTAGCAGTTACTGTAACAACAGTGTTGCTGTTGCGAAAGGTGTACAACTTTACAAAATAAATGAAAAATTTAACTACCAGAACATTCTGGCCAAATTTCAGTGCCATCATCTTTCTGTAAGTCTGCATGTCTGTGCAAGCCCTACAAGGCTTTCCTTCGCGGTCAAATATTTTAGAGAAATCACCAGCACTATTTTCACGTTGCCCCTCTCTGTGGGCTGACATTTTGAATAATGTCAGATGGGAGTAAAAGTCAGGGCAATGCGCATGCTCCAATGCCAAATTCAAGATGTCGGCACTAAGGCGAATTGCGAACAGTGCGATTATAATGAAACGTAAGTTATAAATTGATACGTTAAGACTTATCATTAATGTTTTTCTCCTATACTGCTGCATAAAACAAGGCAGTTGCATTTTGATACGCATCCTGCAGACCACCTTGGCTAGGATTTGAACTTGAAGACAGTATTACCCTCTTATATCAGGAGCCCAAAAATCACGCTGTGGGCGCTTTCAACATTTTTTGTTATAGCCTATTAGCTCTCCCTGTGGTCAGACAATAAAGACGTAAATTTAAAATGGCTTATGTTTCATTTCCCATATTCAGAGTAAAGAATTTTTCAATATATTTTGGTCTAGACTAGTCGAGGTATTTGCCATAGTGTGCGGCACCGTCATCAGTTGAGTCTAAAATCAGAACCAAAGAGCACCTCAAGAGCGCAGACCGTCACTAAGGGTGTATTCCCAGAGATTTAGATCGATCCAGAGATTAAGATTTAGATTGATCTAACTCCCTGGGGGTTCACGTTAAATTGCAGTCAGCCGAGCGCTATGGAAATGGGGTCTAAGTTCGCATTCACGTAGATTTTCGATCGATCTATCCCCGTGGGCAGTCTCACTAGATTACTGTCAGATAATCTGGCTTAAATGTCTGTCCCGCCTACTACAAGCTATAAGGGGGTAATTAACTTTCGTACCCGCTCGGCTGACAGCTATTAAGCGTTAACCCCCAGGGAGTTAGGTCGATCTAGTTGGATCGATCTCATCTCTGGGAATGGGGTCTAAGGCAAAATTAAATGTATCTAATTCAATCAGAACTTGAATAGGAAACCTGTTTTCTGTTGAAATTGTAACCACATGTTCCCTCCTGAATAACTGTCAATGAACAGAAACCGCGTTATTGATAATCGTGGTAATTTTTGGACCAACTTGTACTATGATGCTAGGTTTTACATGAATAATTTTTGAATGATTAATAAGTAATGTGGTGTTCATTATTTGGACTACAAAATATAAAAGGGTTTTATCTGTAGTGTAAGTACCTGTGTTTATGTAAAGCTGCATATCTGTCCAAAGGAATCATAATTTTAACAAAGTTGATGTTCTAAAATGTGCAGTACTGAATGGCATTTTAATTAATGAATGACCAGTCTTTTAGAACTAAATCATTTATTTTAATTAATTGGAATAAAACATTAAGTTTCCAAGTGCATCGACAGGTCAAGCAATTATTTGTGATTAGGAGAAAATTGCTCTTTTTCCAGAGGAAAATTCATTTTCTCAGGTGTATTCTGTAAAGAGTACCTTAAAGGGATAACAACTCTTCTTATGAGATCAATATTACACAATAAATGCATTGTAAACACCTTACAAAATTATTATATATCCTACTTTACCACCAAAATGGCAGTTATTGCAATTAATCTGAATTCTGTGCTTGCCACCTGACCATAGATGGCTATGCTCTGAAATAATTATAATTATTACAAAAAAAAAAAAAAAAAAAAAAAAAAAACTTGTGAGAAAAAAAAACGGGGACTTTGAATGTAGAAATGGATTCATCAACCAATGTTAAGTATGGGAAATTTACCCTAGGAAAATTCACTTTTTGGCCAAAATGAACAGTTGGTATCCTTTAAATGAAATAAATCCCTTTTTAAATTTGAAAACAATAGACCTTGCTCATTTGGACAACCTGTAACTTTGATCCTGGGGAAAACCCTTCCCATAACACCAAAGGCCAAACATAATTTGTTTATGGATTTAATAAATTGCCAAATATAATAATTATTAAAAATTCCTATGCAACATAAGGAAAGCCGACATAACCAGTGTACCATAACCCCAATGTACCAAAATTCAAGATCGAGCATTTTCTTCACAATTTTTTTTCCTAACTGTTAGTCGTCTGTGGTTTATTTCGAACTTAATTTGATCTTGATGTTATGTAAATGTTTTATTTTATAATTTTTATTTGAACTCATTTATCTGTATAATATCATCCTTTTGGTTGCAATGTTTTAAATTAATTAAAATGTACCTAATGAAGTGTAGCTTTGCAACTACTTGAAAAATGTGTCAAGCAACATAATATACTTTACTGTAATTTTGATATTGCTTCATTTTCAGAACGTGACACTTTAAAGGATTACTTTTATGAGTTGCCGGCATTAACATTCAGTACAATTGTTTCTACTGCAGGTAAGTATTTGTGGTGCCACCACAGCCATGTTGCCTGGCATGATTTCTGTTTGTTGTTGTTGTACTAGTATACAACTCTCTGTTAACACATTTACTTGTTCATTACTGAGACCTGTCCTTGTGTTTGAAATTAATTTCTACTGATTTCACCCAGATGTTGGGTTAGGTAGGTTCATTTGCATAGATGGAATAATTCAGCCATATCAAAGATATTCAAAAGTGAAATGTCTCCTAGAATGATGGAAATATGGGAAAAGTTACCCCAGAAGTCTGACTGATGGTCAACTGGAAATTTCAAATCTAACATTAATTTTGGCCTTTGGCTATATTTCAAAGTCAAGTGGGGTGATATCTTGAATTTAAATATAAAAAATTGATGTTGATTTCTAGGAGCTCTTTAGACCTATGCACTTTCTATTTTATTGCAAGAACCTACACTGAGGTCTCCTTTTATCTGTTTGAGTTTTGGGTCAGTTGGTCAATGTTCAGGGAATACAGCCATTACATGCTAATGTTTAAAACCAATTTTGGCACCTTAAAAGCCAAAGACTTCTTACTTTCATGCATTTTGTAGAGCTTACTAAGTGCAATACAGGAAGAATGCAGTTTTTTTATTAGTTTATTATTTGCATTACTTATTTTATATATATATATATATATATATATATATATATATATATATATATATATATATATATATATATATATATATATATAAAATAATAGGAGGTGCATTATTTCACAACTACTGTGAGTGCATTCAGAACAAGTTGATCCGCGCACTTACTGATCTGTGGATCAAATATGGCCGACCCACTTGAGAGCGAGGCTGCCTAATCCTCTTATGATCTTCCTGGCTCCACACGCGCCACACTCCACAATTAAACAGGTTAAATCTCAGCAGAAGTCATTCATCATAATGATTTTAGTTGGTTTATTCAAAGCGTGATTTGTTCTCATTTTTTTTCTAGGTTGTATTGCATACTACTTTTGGAAGAAAGATATGTTTGAAGATGAAGCTAACTATAAATTGAAGAATTTTAAATACGTAAGGACATATACAGGTAAAATGTCACTTAGATACATTATTGAGTGCAATTGATGAAACTTGAATATCAAGTCTGAATGAATGGTAAAATATATCAGTAAAACCAACAAGTTTGTTTTTTTTTTCTGGCTGAAACCAAGGCCCCATTCCCATTGACATAATCCACATGGATAGACCAAACTCTGAAGGGACTCTGAGACTGACTGCAGTGAGCTTAACTGAAAGACACACTTCCTCGTAGCATAAGTAGAATTCAGAAAAGCAGGTAATTTTACAAGTTTGTTGGAAACAAGAGGAGGTGTGTCATTCAGTTAAGCTTATTGCACTTGTCAAGACTTGGGTCGATCCATGTAGACCAGAATGGGATCCAAGAACTTTTTGAACGGTCCTCTTGGATATTAACTTCAAGTATATTGACTTACAGTCTTAAAATGATAGACTGGTGGGTTTAAAAATATTAAAAAATCATTTGTTTAGGCCTGTTTTATGATACTGTATGAGTCTGTTTGTATTTTAATCTCAATTTCTGTCATTGTCATTGCTGTCTAAGACATCTGTTGTTAACCCTGTTACTGCCAAACCATAAATTTGTTTTACTTCGTGTGTACTGAGTGACTTTGTGTGGTGAAAAAGGGATCTTTTGAAAATTAGTATGATATGATTATTTTTACTTGTGTCATTGTGATTTGGCAATGTTTTTTTTTTTTTAATACAAATTTGCTGAGTTGCCTTGTTTAGTAAAAGGCAAACAAAATCAATATGATTGGATTATTTTTATACATAATTTTTTTTTTGGGGGGGGGGTAAGTATTGTTGCAATGTTTCTTTTTTATTTCCTTCTTTGGTGTCTGTATGTTTGCAAGCTTTGCTGTCTAGTTGATCATTTGTGTTTGAATAACATTGGCAGTGTATTCATAATTATGTTTGTTTTTTTTTCCAGTTGTAAGAAGAGAAGATGTTGACAATCCAAGCGAACCATATTATAACTGAGAGGGGACTACTGAAATTTTAAACCATGTAAAGTCTTGACAATACGTCTGTTGTTTTGAAGCTTCATTTTCTGTGACTAGATTTTGTAATGAAAAACATTGCTAGTTGATATGCAGGATCACATTGATGGTTTGTTCTTGTCAAGACCACTGAATAGAATCACACACTCTACATAGATGTGTTACTGAAGGACTCATGTGTTTAGATTGTTATTTGTGCATTTGAATTTTAATCTCTGACAACACACTGGGACAGTAATTTATTGTGTATCAAATAAAAAGACATGTCGATTGTTATAAAGCTCACGTTTTTACTCATTCTCTAATGATAAAGTAATTATTTGCACACTGCCAACAGTACAGCATAGCCCTATGGCAATAGAAATTATAATAGGGGAAAAAAAGATAAAAATATACTGGGCACTAAGGCAGAGCAGTGTGTTTTCATGGTGGATTGGAGGATTAGAATGAACTGTTTTGAGCAGATTTTATTATATTTGTATACAGCAGGGGACTGAATATATATATCAGCATAAGTATTTGTGCATACAGGACCACTTAGATGCTGTATTCATCTTTCAGTGTAGAAATTAATGAAGTGGAGAAGTCCTGACAAAAAAAAAATCAGATCCGTGAGGTACACATACTTGACCTTTCTACAAACATGAAGCCAAATTTTATTGAAATTTTTTATAGGTGATTCTGTTGCATGAATGTTCTCATACAGTTCTGGGTATCGGAAATTTGTACGGAAATGTTTTTGAAAACTGAAAAAAAGTTAAACCTTTATTTATTGAAGGCAATGCCCAAGTCCAGCTGTAAGTTATGCTGCCCTTATCTTCTAAAATATAGCACGAGATGGAGACTAGCTTTGGTGATGAGATTCTGTAATAGCAATGAAGCGTTCCAGCGTGTTAAAGGTGCATAACAAGCGAAAATACAGGTGTGTAAATTCCCTGTGGCGCAAACAAACTACTAGTACCAGTTTCTTACGCACCTCAAAATTCACCTGCTAAAAAAAATAATAAAGAAATAAAAATAACCCTAGTTTATTACTCAGTCAGCTGAAAAAGGATTTAAAACTTAAAAATGCACCTTTAAATTTCTGCTCATAATATTGGCCTTATCCGTCACTACAGTTCGTATTGCATCGCAAAAATGGCACGAAAGAAAATAATGCAACGAAACCCAATTTTTAGTTAAAATATTTCAGACTATTTGGTCGGGTATATTATTAATTTGACATGTCTACTCGCTTAATATGTATCTTTAAATATTGATATTTGTTATCATATACCAACCCATTAGAAACTAAATGTTAGCAGATCGCATGCAATGTGTGTGAAAACATTTGGACACCTTGCTTAGCTAAATATACTCCGGGTCATTTCGTATGACAAGAACAACAATCATGCGCGCTTTCATTTGTTGTGATATTTGCACTGCTCCGTGGGTTTGGTGCACCTTTACAATGTCGCCAGAGCGCTTCCTTGGCTACCGCTTTTGATGAGAAATACTTACTGGTATTAAACGAAATGAAGCTCAAGAGACAAGTCCCTGCTTCTACAATATATGTATTCGAAAGATGCTCTGTGACATTCGCTGTTATTCTTGTCTTGGACATAAAGATGCATAATTACGATTAACGTTTTCGGAAAAAGCATAGAGCCTGTTTAAAGTTTGCAAGGATAAAGGGACTTTTTCTCCGTTCTACTTAAACGACAAGATGCCGATTAATAACCTTGACGAACAGACAGAAGAAAGCACATTGTATTATGATCTGAAATTTTCTCGCACGGCAGAGAAAAATAGAAGTTATTTACTTGCACACAAAACATGTGAGAGCAAAGGGATGTTAGATCAGTTTGCCATAAAAGTAGAAGAAAAGAGTCGTCTGCGAGATATTAACATCGATTCTAAAAAAGTCGAGTCGAAGAAAGTGAAAATAGAAGACAGGCAGGAGGAAATTTTAGAGGATCACACACTGGACGAAATCGCAGATTTTGTAGCCAACGTTTTAGAAAATGAAGAAATACCCACAACTGTTCGAAGAAGCGGTAAGAAAAGTTACAGTATGTCGGATATAACGTACACGAAAGCACAGCAAGAGTCTGGCTCTTACTTGCCAGATCGTTGCACGTCACTAAATTGCTTGCCGGACACGTTGTCGGGGAGCGAATGTCTCGAAGAACAACAAGGAACTCTTGAAGTATTAAGCAGCCAAGATTCAAGTGAAAGTGCATCGACCTTGTTCATAACGCAAAATTGTGACTTTGAGCCCAATCTTCCTCGAATTCAAGAAGAAACTTTTGTCTTGCCAGCTCTTCCAAAACTACCAAAAAGAACAGAAAAACAAACCTTACAGTCCAAAATTGGAAAGTTTGTGGAATCTCAAAACGAATTTAATGCTAAACAGAAAAAGGGGAATGTGTTGTTTGAAGGTAATTACATGAGCAAGGCGCGACCTATGCCATATTCATCGACTATATCACTTTATGGAAAAAGCGAAGGATTAAAGAAAGCTATAATAACCCTCAAGAAGATGAAACTACCCTCCATAGCACACATGAAATCAAAAGGGGCCGCTTTTCTCCACGCCCCGGCACAGCTTGGTCATGTTCCGGATATTCCTGAAGAAGATGAGAACCAAGAGCAATCCCAAAATTCAACGGAGAAAAAAGACAACCAAACTGAACGTAAGCGACACAGCCTGCCGCAGTTGTCGGACGTAAAAAGTAAAGATAAAGAATTTACGAAACTGTTATCCCGCTGGAATTCTTACAAAAGCAAACATACCAGTAAAGAAAACCTCTCAGAACTGATGTCGATTACTGTTAAAACGAAAGCTTTTGCAAGACAAAAAAGGAATAATCAGTTTACATCGGTGTTGAAAGCTATTTCTGCTGTGAAGGAATTTGACAAACAGACAGGTGCAAAAAAATCACAAAAGAGATAGCGTCGAATAGAGGGAGTCAGTTTTTCCATTGTAAAGTTTTATTATTTTTTTATGTTTAATGGGTGGAGGAGGCAAACACAATCAAGTTGTGAGCAAAAAATGGCAAGTTTGTAATGGATTTCTAGCTCACATAAACATCATAATAGATATCTAGCTATAGATATGACAAATTATACACTTTTCATTGTATATGGTGGAAAAGATTGTGCAAATTTGAGTCTTTTAAAATTAGTCAAAGGAATCGGTGTACCAGCTCGTTTGCCACCTGTGATTGTGCTATAGAATCCTCTTCGTCTCCTCTTCTCTTTGGCGGGATTTTTTCAGTCCATTTTATGTATATGAACAGCAACTTAATGTTTGTTTATCTGTTATTTTGGCTTGTACATTTCAAAAAATAAAGAAGCAAAATTTGTATTCCTTATGTATTCTGTTTCTGAAATGCCATTGTTTTTTACGGGACTTCATATTTATCACGAATAATTTAAAGGTGCAAATCGAATGAACTTTACTAGGTCTTTAGGCCTGCCGGTATAGCTTGTTTGTGTACAACATGCAAACATTTTCCGATTCCCATGATAGCATGCACAGTTTTTATATAGGCCTATTCAGTAACGAAGGCTTGAGAAACGAACGGTGTGAAAATAATAACCCTTTTGGATAATATTTGCACGTTTTTAATGCTAGCAAAAATTAGACTGCGTCTAAAAGATAGGTTGTATGTATCTCGAGATGCACGTTTTTTATTTTACTAATCATTACATTTTGTTCTTAACTTCAGGGATATTTTTTCACTATGCCTGGTAACGAATGTCTTCCAAATTACTTTCTAAGAGAATGGTGCCCTGTCACCATATCGTCTAGCTAGTCATGGATGTTACTGAATTGAAGATTTTATTTCATTCAAATAAAATTGTAAAAATATTACAAAAAAATATAGGGCCTAACAACTAAAAATTTTAATTAGGACCCACAGCTAGCATATTAATTGGGTAAGTAGTCAGGTGATTTTTTCAATTTTTAAGGCCCGGGCGACGCTGCGAAAGCTAGGCCTAATTGTTGTGTTATCTAAATTAAGCATTCTAGACATTTGCTGAGACTAGTAATAATTTCTTCATTGATTTAAGTTGCAAGACTTAGGGGCGGATCCAGGATTATTTGAAGGGGGGGTCCGCGGATGCGAAGCCGACCCTTAACCCCCCCCCCCCGGGCCCCCCCCCCCCCCCCTCCCCCCTTGGCGTGGAGTTCGGGGCCCGCTGAAAGGTCCCGAAATTTTTGGTATTTTAGAGGGCGAACGGTGCCATTTTTACGGTTTAGAACTATAATTCAGCTAGTCAAAATTCTAATTTCAAGAGGGGACCATTGGTGTGATTTTTTCAGAAAACGAAGGGGGGGGGGGAGAGGTTCAGGACCCCCTGACAGACCACTCCCCCTAAATCAGCCACTGCTAGACTGATATGTAAGTAAACTTCCACTTTGACAAACTATTCTACGGCTCGTTTACTTTTAATAAAATATAAAAGTAAAATAGACCTATATATCCGTGTAGGCCCTATATAACGCTCTCTCTCTCTCGATCTTTTTTAAAACTTTTTTAGGGTTGATGAATTCGAATAAAATTCGGCTTATAATAAATGTCGGTCTAAATTGGGGGGCGTCTCGATAGTCCGAAGGTTCATTGGTCCGAAGGTTCATTGGTCCGAAAAACGCTAACATTTTCATCGGTTTTTTAAGCAAGGGTTCATTGGAAGGTTCTGTAGTGAACTATCGGACCAATGAACCTTCGGACTATTGCTACGGCCCCCTAAATTGAACTGAAATGGAAATAATTAAATAGGATATTTCAAACAGGTGTTAAGTCACATCACAAAGGAGCTTATTATCTCAGCATAAATGGCATTTAGAACGTCTTTTAAGAGAAAATTATCGCTTGTCCTTAGTACGCGCAAAGCTTCATGGGAAAAAATAATCACATGATGTGGAAGCCAAAATGGCGGGTGCAGGTGCGCTGACGCTCTTTTGGTCTATGTTTGCTGTAATACTTTTAATGTGTATTCCAGTTAAAGGTGCGTATTTTTATGGACTGAGGGTTTATATTCATTATACTGTTCTTTAAATATGAGTAAATATGATAGATGCCAAACAGTATAAATTGCTTGGTCGTCTGCGGAAGTCTTGTTTTAACTGAGTTTTGAATCGACAAAGCCACTTTTATTATGGTTCTCTTCCGTTTTCTCTTTCACTTTGAACAGACAATACATATAAAATCTAAAAGAAGCTTGTTAGGGCACTCTAGTTTGCAAAATTACACGACATTTTGAAACCAACTTCGAGCACAATTTTGTCAAGTGTTCGATTACCTTATTAGTTATCCTTACAAATTACTTGTATATTGAATTTAGATCACTATGTCTGTCCATATGTTTTTACTTACATTTTAACACAAGCAGATGTATAGAAGGCATATTATATCCTTGTTAAGAACTGTTATCACTGAGGAATTGTATCCTCAACTTTGTTAAAAAAAAAAGGTGTGGGGTGGATTCTAAAAAATTAAATATGTGTCAGTGGCAGCATGGCCAAAGTTGACACACAACTACTCAGGAAAAAAAACTACCCCCTCCTCCCCCCCCCCCAAAAAAAAAAAAAAAAATCACAGTGTTGAGATATGTCAAATGTTTTAATACAGATACCGTACACTCAAGGTCAAGCTTATTAGTAGGTTTATTATCAGGGAGAGTGAAGGCCAGAAAGGCAAGATAAGCATCAACTTGAATCCTACTTAGATTTTAAATCTAAGATACATGCCATTGTAAGCGTCAGTATTATGTGAACAATACACGATTACTGCTGGTATCATTTTAAATTCATTTACAGTTGGGTACTGTAATCTGATTATTACAATTATTGCCTTCGTCAGTCGCTAGATAGATATTAAAGCTGTGCTTTATATAGCCAATTTGAAAATATGCTACAGACCATTCCACAGTATTTTCTCTCTCAATACCAGTAACCCCCCCCCCAAAAAAAAAAAAATAAATAAATAAATTAGTAATAGAACTTTGCCCAAATTTATTCCTACCAGATAAAACCAAAGAAAGTTATTACGTGATACGGATGTTTTTCACATCATTACTAATTTAGATATGACTATTTGAAAAATTATAATGAAGAAAAATGATGTGAAGGGAGGACCACTATATGTTTCATAGGATGCAGAAGTTAACCAATCCAATTTTTCATCCAAAGTGTTATAAAAACCTGTTAGAGATAAATCTTTTGTCATTCGTTACACAAAACCCTCCACAAAGTATGCCATACCAAAAAGATAATGATATATATCATGATATATTAGTCATATGATTTTTTAGCATGCCCTCATTTTTTTATCATTCAGTGTGAGGTATTATGAATTCAACACCAAGTGGGCAAGTTAAACTTAAATAGCAAAGTGACTTTCAGAAATAAATCATTACAATTATTATTATTATTGTTCTTTCAGCATACCAAGTAGCCCCTGTCCATGAGACTAACCATGCAGACTGCACTATGGATGAAGCTTTGCTTCATGTGCATATCACTGTGGAAAAACCAGACAGTTCTGTGGAGTTTTTGCTGGAATACAAGTCTGATGTTTGTTATGAAGTATGATTTGTTTATTGTGAGGGATCTATTATCTGACTTCTGGTAGTATGGGTTGAAAGGGAGCAAAAGAGAATATAATTTACACCCCATTTCCATAGATTTTTAGATCGATCTATCCCTGTGGGGAGTCTCACTAGATTACTGTCAGCTTGGCCGGCTTAAGCGTCTGTCCCGCCTACTAAAAGCTGTAAGGGGTAATTAACTATGGTGCCCGCTCGGCTGACTGCAATTTAGCGTGAACCCCCAGGGAGTTAGGTAGATCTAAATCTTAATCTTTAGATCGATCTAAATCTCTGGGAAAGCACCCTTAGTCTTGTCTTAGGTTTTCATTCTTTTCTTTGCGAAAAATTTTGTGGAAGTAAAATGGAAGCATTTGCCTCAGTGAAAAAAACTTCAGTTGGTGAGATATAAAGTTTTTTTTTTTTAATTTTTTTGAAGGCGATTTATTCATTATACCTTTTCAGATATCAGTGATGAAAGTAAATTATTTATGTTGTCAAAGATTTGATGGACCAAATATCTTCATAGTATTTACCTTAAATTTTTATCCCACAAAGACAATTCCCCAGAAAGCACTTATCAATATTAAAATTGACCAGCTTGAAGATGAGGTCTATCTATAGAAGTTAGTAAAATAATCTTATACAACCACTTACACATCCACTAGTTCAACCTGACAACTTCTTGTAAAAAGCATTTTTTCTAGCCATATGCCAGGTTGGTTAGTCAGTTGTCTCCAAATGGTGGTTAATGTCTCATTTTGTCTTAATATTTCAGTGTAAGTACCAGCCTGTCCTGAACAGCTCAACTGGGGGAGTCTTTTATTTCCATCAAAATTCAAATGTTGATCTGAAAGTGGATACACAGCACCCAGTGGCTCTGATGGTTTTTGCAGCATGGCCCAATGGCACTATCCTTGAATTATGCAGGTACTACAGACACTAGTGTGCTTGATTTGGTCTTAAAGTGCATTTTTAGATAACAAATGATCTAACATGGTCTTAATCATTACAGCAATAGTCTTAAAATGGACTGAATCTGCTTTTGAGATCGAAAATGATCTAACATCTACTTATGCAGGTCAAGCAATTTCCTCCCCTCACAATGGATAACACCTCTGCTCACAATTTTTCATATCTGTATCACATGATTTCATTTAATTGTAAAATATACTTGTTATCTTTTTTCAGAGTTGACTCTTTTTCATTTAAAGAGTGTGGAAATTATTCCTTATATATAATGAAAGACCTACCTGGGAATAGCACATGTAATCTTACTCCAGATTCAGAGGTCTGGGACAGTAATATACGTGAGTATTTAAATCATACAATACAGAGATGGGATTAGTCCTCCTTTATGGGATTTCCTCCTTTTTATTTGTGAAAGGGTGATTTGAAAGTTTCTTGCTTCTGTATTAAATGATCAAAAAAGGAGAAAATTACGGGTGATTGACAAAACTTTAGTCAGTATTCGAGTTGACAAATCTGTTATTTGTCATTTTGAGTAAATTTTCTCTCCCTTTTTGAAAGTGTACATCCACAAAACAAAAATTGGAAATGGTGCCTTTTAGATTATATTTATTTTCAGCAATCTATGTTGCTATTGGAGTTTTTGTGGCCTTAGCTCTATTGTGGATCTTTTTGAAATTCCTAATAAGGTAATTATATGTAAAGACTGTTAGTATTGAGTAAATAAATGTTGACAATTAATAAAACCTTATTAGAAATTATGTGGCAAGCGTCTGAGAGTATAATCCGTAGGATAAGATTTAATCAGAATTTATAATAATATCTGAGCAAATTCACAACCTATATCTTTGGATAACCTATCTGTAACCCAGTTAATGTATGGAGAACAAATTATTGGGAGTAAGACCATGGTTTTGAAAATTTGCCTCTTTTTATTTATGAATTGATCCAAAAATTATATTTTTTATCTATTCTGATCATGATATAAACAATTTATCTTTGGTCTGCAGGAAAGGGTATATATACAAATTATTTTGTATGCAGTCTGACCACCTGGTGACCACAGTAAGTAAACTGTTTAGAATTTCTAGCTTACTTTTTTATCCTGGCGTATGTTTTTGTTACTGAATATCTAACTGAGTTTGTGTCAATTAAGGCTGATAAAATTTATTTTGAAGTGTTTCAGGTTTTATTTTTATTTGTTCAGTTTTACTATATAAAGATAGATATATCTCTCTGTTTCAAAGTAATTGTTTAGAATGAAGTTGTGATTACTGTCTTAAAATTGATCAAAGCATTTGATTTTAGGATCTTGGCATAATAACAATTGTAAATGAAGAACAACCAGAAAACAATAAATCTAAGGAAAGGCTCAACTCACTGGATGCTTTCAGAGGGTAAGGGATTCAAGGATTACACTTATCAATGAAAAGTAGATTTTAATCCAAATGAGAAAAACACAAATTTTCTAAGATGTGGAATTATACTTTCAGAGACAAGTTTACTTCTTTAATCTCAGTAAAGTTTATTGATACATAATGACTTATCTAAATCTATTTCAGCATTGCAATAACAATAATGATCTTTGTAAATTATGGGGGTGGCAAATACTGGTTCTTCCGTCATTCAAGATGGAATGGCCTTACTGTAGCAGACTTGGTGTTCCCATGGTGAGTGACTGGAGATAGGTGGTCAGGTGACCAGTTGCTTCTTGCCAGAAAGACTTTCGAGAGATGACTGAAAAAGTGAAAAAGCTTGAAATGATAAAAATAAATATTTAAGGGGGAAGGTTAAGGATTTTCACATGTGAATTGTAGAGGGTCATTTTTCTAACATTAAAATATAGGAAATATGTCTGGAAGTAGAATATTTCATTAAAAGACAATGATCAAATTTTACCATTTTTTGTATTAATTGGTTTTTAAAATACTACAGAAAGTGGGAATAAATCACAGAGATTCTTCTTCAGTCATCTCTGCTGTGAAGAGTTCTTGTACCCTGTCACCTGACTACAACACCCCGTCTGCCTTCATTACAGAACCTGTTTCACAAAAAATTAGATCTTGGTAAAGTCTGGAAAGAATGTTAGCTAACCATTTTGTCTTTCACAAAGAAACTAAGGGGCAGCATACCTAGATCTTGACCAACATGACAGAGTTTGATTTTACACATTTGGTAGTTGGCTTTTGGAGTTTAGCCGTCTTAACTTGAGCCAGTTAGGCTAGACAAAATCACGGGACTTTTTTATTTTTGTGAAACAGGTCCCAGATCTTTGCTTTTGTGTGACAACTATTTGGCTACTGATTTCTGTTTGTGCTCTATGTGTGTTTCTGCCTAATGTTTCAGACTAGCACTAACTGTGATGATCTTTGTGAATTATGGCGGAGGTCATTACTGGTTCTTTAACCACTCTGCATGGAATGGACTTACTGTAGCAGATCTTGTTTTTCCTTGGTATGTTCTCTCATTACTCTACTCCTTGTTTTGGTCCACAGAAGACTATCTGATGGAAAGTGGGTCTAAACTTTAAAATTAACATTTTTAGTCTGCTTAAAGCTAGTAGTTGCTTTAATCTAGGCTTGTCATTCAGTAAGCTGACTGTACTCAAAGAGAATCTTCACAAGAGTTGGATCTACGTAGACCGATAGTGTCTGTGGGAATGGGGTCAAACTTCTTTTGTCAAACCTGCCCCTGTTTCCTGTCTCGCTGAATACAATCAGGTTATTATCAGATAAACATGCCTCTTCTTAGCTCTAGCAGAATACAGAAAAAATGATGATTATATGAGTATGTTGGAAACAAGAGAAGAGGTGTTAATCTGATTGCATTCAGCAAATGTCCCCACTGGGTTTGATCCATCTGAGTAAAATGATAGTTTAACTGGGAATTAGTACTAAGTGTTGTATGTAGTTGCATGCTTTTGGTTTGTCCTTTAGCACTGGCTTTAAATTATCCATCAGTTTATGTTGATGAGATGATATAACAAATCTACAAGTAAAATATATTTCACATACAGTGTTTAAAGTATTTTCCTTATTGGTGTCATAATGATAACTTTATTAAGCAAAACTTTTTGTGCAGTATATTAAGATTATAGTCTGGCATGGCTTTTAACACAAAATTAAGTGCAATGGCTAAATTCAGTAATTATTTTTTATATTTTAATTTTTTTCCCGATATAAGTTGACATGAAATATTGATTTTCAAATACTAATAATTTATGAAATCATGCTGACTTTACAGGTTTGTTTTTATCATGGGAACAGCAATGGCCTTCTCATTTCGTGGTGTGAAAAAACGCAAAGTATCTAAGTTGGACATTTTGAAGAAAATAGTTTTCAGAACAGTTGTTCTTTTTATACTTGGAATAATAATCAATACAAAGGATTCTGGTAAGTTTATTTTCAAAATTTGTTAAAACTGAATTTGTGACAAATTGAAATAAATTTCTGGCGTCCATAACATTATTCTTGAAGTTACTCTGTTGAGTTACTAACTTGGAAATGTTTTATGAATATACCCTTTTAAGACCACTTTTTGCATGACGTGGCATATGCCTAGTTGGTGGTTACATATATCTCTTTTATACATAGTGTCAAAATATTCAGAATTGTGTTCAGAAGCTGTAACAACAAAAGCGCAGGCAAAATGGGAAGATTTTAGACAAAATCTCACATACGATCTTTATTATAAAGTGCTACATTGTACCCTTACAACGGCGCATTATTGGTTAATTAACTATTATAACACTTTTACAGTAGACTGATTTAAGAAGTTTTTTGCTATGCTTATTCTATAATTGTAATGTCATTTTTTTCTCATCAGGATATTGTTTCTTTATTTTCCCCTTTTTAGAAATCACTTTATTCTACTAATAAATTCATAATTTTAATCTTATGTGAAAACATTTACATGTATATGTATATACTTATGACCTTGCACCTATTTTCATACTTTTCTCTGTCTGTGATTTTCATCTATAAATGTATTATGCAGATCTCTCTTTATTTGAAGTATGAAGTAAAGCAGTATTGATATACACTGTACTTTGTTTCTAGTAACTGAACCAGATAAGTTGCGTATCCCAGGCGTCCTCCAAAGGTTTGCTGCCACATACCTAGTCCTGGCTGTCATGGAGATGTTCTTTGCCCACCCAGATCCTGCAGACATGGAGGCAAGTCAAGGACTACTTCAGGTTCTTAATAATACATTCACAAATTTATAGCTGCCGTTTGCTGAGGATAACTCTCTATTTATGAGGAGATGATGCTGGGTATATGGAATAAGGATTTGTTTATTGTATTTTAGGAAAAGAATTTAAATAGCGAGGACTTGCTCCTAGGCAGGGAAAAGGACAGTGAAAAAATACGATTAATGGGCTTGAGGGTTTGTAATTTGCCAGAAGTGCTTTTTAGAAGAAAAACTAGCCTTTTACATATTCCTAATTCCATAACCTAACCTTTTTATCAGCTGCTGCCCTTTTGTATCCTGGGTTTCAATTGATTATTAGTCCTGTAGAGAGGCAACCATTTATAGCAGTGATTGGGCAACACCTATGGGTCTAACCAATATAAAATTATGGATAACAAAAAACTAGCTATATCAACCCTGATATTAAATGCTGTAATGTTTTTACCCTGAACCAAAAGCAATTTGAGATTTATTTGAGACATATCACTTATGCTGAACATAGAAACCTGAATTGTCTTAAAAGTTTTGTAGCTTCATGCTTCTGCTTGCTTAGTCAAAAAAAAAATCTATATATAATTCTTGTTGATCTTTGGATTTTATATCATACTTGGCAATGAGAAATTCCAAAGAGATAATTTGTGAGAAAGCGTGATTGTGTTAGATGAGAGAAGATGCAGATTGCATCAGTTGTGGTGGATCTGAAATGAATTCCTTGGTCACCCAAGTCCTATTTTGCAACTTTTGCAAAAGTCTGCTATTTTCAGGACGACATGAGGCTTATCAACAGATCCCTTGGCAGTAATTCCCTGGCCTCTATTGATGCTCCACATCCCCCGCAGCAGGTAAATTTGATCAATTTCTGAAACATCACTCATGCATTCTCAGTCTGTGGCTTTAGCTTTTGACTGGTAGACCTCAGAAAGCTTCTTACTGGTTTGAATAAAAAATTATGAGTCCATGTATGAAATCTGAATATAGATTATGGTAAAAAAATAATCTAAAACAACCGCCTAAATTTCCAGTTGTACTAGAAACCTTTAAAGATTCAAGTTTTTGCCATTTGATGCCGAGTGTACTTATCAGTTGTCTTGGACCAGTGGCAAGCAGACTACAATCTTTTTATAGCCTTTTTTTGTTGATCCATCATTCATTTTGACTGTCTTCCAGTAGAAAACTTGAAAATTGTGATTGTCTTCCGTAAGACCCAAAAGACATCCCTCATCACCCCTGCTTTTATTGGTATCATTATTTTTCTTCAGTCAAAATGATTGTCTAGCCATCACTGACAAGAATAAGGATAGTTGGCAGCTGTTATACAGTCACCTTAAAACAGTATTTTTTATGTATTTATAAATTGATTTTACTTGGCATTTATCTTAAATTTTTCACTTGTTAAGCCCCAAGTATTTGTATGAAGGATAAAGAAAAAAATGAGTGATGACTGATTGAAAATGAATATATTTTCGCACAAACTTGTACAAAAAGAGCAACAGTGTCTTTGATCAAATAGATATCTCATGGATTAAGCAATGATAATAGTTGTGATCAAATAGGTGTCTCATGGATTAACCAATGATAATAGTTGATAATAATTGCCATTAAATTTGCCTTTATGCAATTGCAGTGCCTGCTAATTTTTTTTGTCATAATATAGATGGTTCAAGTACATGCCTTCATGACATAATATTTAATGTTCTAAATGAGCTAGTTTAAAGAATCTGTTCAATACTTTTTAGATAACAATGTAGAAAGGATGATAATTTGTAATGCTAGATATATCAATGGAACATTTGGGTTTTGCACCTTTTCCTTTTTTTTTCAGACCAAATGGTGGCATCCAATTCGAGACATAGTGCTGTACTGGGCAGAATGGATCATAGGTTTAAGCTGTGCCATCGTTCATGTAGCAGTAACTTTTGCTGTTCAAGTGCCAGACTGTGATGTGTAAGTTTCTCTTTCTCTCTGTCCGTCTCTCTCTCTCTCTCTCTCTCTCTCTCTCTCTCTCTCTCTCATTTTATCATTAAATAGATATTTGATATTTATTTTAAATACATACCATTTACAATTTGTTTGAAGAATTTGATCGAAATAAAAGTCCATATGTTATTGTATGTAATTTTTTTCTTTAAATTTTTATTTTATTTTATTTTTTAATGTTTAAGTGGCAACATTGGTCCTGGTGGTCCTTTATATTATAATGGCTCCCACGCTAATTGTACAGGAGGAGTTGCTGGGTACATAGACCGCTGGATTCTTGGCAGGGACAGGATATATCAATCCCCTTCCTTTAGGGTAGATACTGTTTTATTTGTATTGCCCGTAGTGTATTTCATTTTATCATGCCATTGTGTGTGCATTTGTACATGCGTGGGTGTAAACTAAATGTTACTCTTTTCCTCATAAAAATTGCCAAAAATAGCTTGTAACATTTTATCAGATCAGTCTGAGATATTTGCCACCTGACAAATTGGCTAATAAATTTGTCCACAAACATGTAAAAAAAATTCAAAAATTTTACTAGTAACTAGTTCAACTGGTGGTAATTTCAATATTTTTACAGATTGTTTTTGCACAAGCTACTAGTATGAGTCTTTTTTTTTTTTTTTTTTTTTTTTTGCCTGTGGCATTGCTGTGAATTGAAACTTCGTGGAATTATTGTGGATTTGAGTTTAAAGTTTGGGACTCTTTAATCTTTTATCTATGATCCAACAGATACTGTATACATAGAGTAATAGTCATACAGATCACACTATAAGAATGTACACATTTTAAGTTAACAGTTTTTACTGTTTTGACACAAATATGATTTTGTTAACAGCTTTTAATTTTTATGAAATGATACCAGTTATGTTGAAATCTCATGTGTGTTATGTGAATTGATTTGTTATGGATTTTTTCCTGACATTCTCTCTTTCAATACCATTTCAGTTTGTTTATAGCACCACTTTACCTTATGATCCGGAGGGAATATTGGGAACACTCACCTCAATATTTATATGCTTCCTGGGGTTGCACGTAAGTTGAAATAAGTTTATATTTACCTGTGTGTGCACGCGCACACACGCACACACACACACTGATGATATAATCTACTGCTGTGAACAAAATAAAACTTTCATAAAGAGAATCAGGAAAGAATAGAATTTTTCTCAGTTTTAAGTACAATATTTCACCTTGATTGTCTTAACCATACTCCACCTGTAAGCAAAATATAATGCTAATCACATGTTCAATTTTTTACAGGCTGGAAAAATTATGATAACATACAGAAAAAATAGTTCAAAGATATTCAGATTAATGCTGTTTGCAGTATTAACTGTGAGTATAAACTAGTAGATTGTCTTTTGAAACTTTGTTGCAGTGATGTAGTTTGGCAGTTTCCATCCCTTGAATTGCTCTTACTGTTGAATGTGCCAATTTAATGTAGCCAGTGAATGTCCTTTATTTCAGTTTTGAACAAGATGGCTGACAGATTTAGGTGTGGAAAAAAATTCATATAAATGATGAGGGAATAGTTTATTTTGTCATAAAAATGGTAAATGCACTTGTTAGGATTGTCACTTTGACAAGTGAATAAGTTTTTAGAATGCATTTTAATTCATTTCTTTTTATTACCAGGGAGGTCTTGCACTATTGCTGACCAAGTGTTCACAGAATAAAGGATGGGTTCCAATTAACAAAAATTTATGGTAAGTTAGAAATACCAACAGAGTTGGAGAGATTCATTCTTATAAAAGATTTACTTGTGGGTTTTTAAAAAAAGAAACCAAAATATATCTTAAATTTAAGACTGAAACTTGATTGATAGCTGTGAAAAGCTAGACTGTAACCTGCCCATCGGGGGAACAAGGGGAACCTAACATACTTGATTTATTTTGTAAAACTAAATTAAAATAAACTTCAATAATTTCTAGGTCGCTCAGTTTCGTATTGGCCACTGGTTCTATGGCGTATTTGCTGCTGATTGTGTGCTATCTGCTCATAGATGTGAAACAATTCTGGTCAGGTGCTCCTTTCATATATCCAGGTAGGTTTGGTTCTTTTTAATTGTATTTTTATTATTATTTGGTCAAAGCTTATTTTGAATTTCTTAGAAAAAGAGATCATCTAGATTAAGTTTACTTCTTTAAAAAAGACTATCAAAATGAAGTTAGCTTTTCTAAAAAAAAAATCTTAACTGCAGTTTGCTTTTAATGGTGAATATGCTTATCATTGTTATCAATATCATCCCTTAACTTGTTAAGTTTGATTAAGAAGCAAATTTGGAAAAACATACTGATTTTCACCTGAGTTATTACTGCCACATTAATAGTATGTGCATCAATTTATAATGTTACATGTAACTATCCTATTGTTAATGTTATCATGCATTTAGGACATTGGGAAATTACAGTGTTAAAAATCAGTTCATATTTTCTCCTGTTGTCCATCAATTTTCATTAATCCTGAAATACATGTGTGTGCATTTTGATGGGAAACTGTTTTCAGTTAAACTAAAATACTTTTGAGTTAAACATAAATACTCTACAGCTCCATCATCATTGATGTGTCACTGATGTTTTTTTATTTTAAGTGGAAATGCGTAATCTTGATGTTTGCCATTTCAGGGAAGAACTCCATCCTTGTCTATGTGTGTCATGAAATGTTTTCCAATTGTTTTCCCGTGCAGTTCAAGGTCCCAAGCACTCATGGTGCTCTGTTGGCTGTTCACCTTTGGGGTGCTGCTTTTTGGGTCTTGGTTTCTTATTACCTGTATGTCAAAAAATTCTTCCTTGCACTATAAGGTTTTAATGACTTAGAAAAATGAAGGGATATGGAAAAAAAGGTGCTATTTCATGAGGGTTATGCATTTTGAGCTTATTGTGTACAACACTACTGAGAGCAAATTCAGTTGCAATTTGTACAGATTTATCTAGAACAAATGTAAAATTAAGAATTGTTTATACAGTATTATTTATTATTTGCCATAATCTTTTGATAGTTTATGATAATATGCATGTCTTGCACTTTCTTTGTATATGTTTGTTATATAAAAGCATCCTGTTGTATATGTTGAACTTTTATATATGATGTTTAGAAATAATGAGCTTTACATAAGCTTGTTTATAACTTGTGTGCTTTCAAACTGAAGTGGACCAAATTTTGTACCAAAAGAAATTTAAGTTGATAACTTGACCCACAGATTATTTTATACTATGAAATCCATTGATCTTGACACTTTGGGTAAGTCTTAACTGCCCATACAACTGTGGGCAGACTTTAAAGAATTTTTGTTATGTTTGTTTGTACATGTATTAAACATTTCATGGTATATACTGGTAGATGTTTGTAAAGATTCAATGAAATGTGACATGTTGGCTAGGAAATTTTTTTTTAATTTATGACCTCCACCCCTAACTGTAATGTCAGTAAATATAACATGTAACCTTGATATCTTGTTTTTTTACTAGCTAGGGGGTAAGTGATACCTTCTGTAGTTGTTCTAGTAAATAATGAATTTGTGTTTAATAAATGGAAATCTCACTATTGTCTAATTAGGTGTGTTAATGTGAAAAGTAAATTTGGTCTTTTATACAAATTGCTGATTAGAACTTAAGAAAAATAACATCACACATTTATGCAAGTATATATTTATATATTTTTTTATATTGTTCATTAAGTCTTTCTATGAACTGTGTTATCTGTTTTGATCCATTGATCACTGATACATATTATGCGTGAAGATAAATACATTTAATGAAAGTAGCAAGATTAGTCCTCAGGGAGAAAAACTTGACCACTGTTACATTTGAGTAAATTTTTATTGAAATGTTATCTTTGGCCAGGGTTTTTTCCTCGGTGATAACGTTTAAAGCATGAATGCAACAGTGAAATAAGGGAAACATTTTTGTTTACATTTTTGTAAGGTTTGATATTACTTTCATTTGTCTTCTCCTTTGTTGTTATTTAAAGTCATACTAGTCATTGTATGTTTATAATTGCTCTAAGGAGAAATATGTAATTGTGACAGCTAATGGATGGATCATTTAGTCATTTTATTAGTTATATTGTAAATATGCCTCCACAATATTGGAATTGTTGCTAAGAATCATTGCCCACTAATGTTCTGTTAAAGTACTACAAAATAAGAACAGTTGTTTAAAGAGTGTACTGGTATGAATGAATAAATGGGTGAGTCAATTAATAAATGAATGAATTTGATGTGTCATCTTGTTCTAGTATATATTAATGACAACTGTTTGAAAGAAGAAAAAGATACTTAATCTTTGTATTTGGGTAAAATTCATCATTTGTAATAAATACTAGTAAATTTTGTGTAGAGCAATTTTTTTTTCAACCAGTATATTGAACAGTTAAAAGACCCTACTTAATATATGCCCCATACATTGTAGTACTTGTAGATATGTACATGTAACAAGTAATACATTGTTTATTGGCCTATTTGTTAAAGCTTACAATATGATGGTCTTAGGATACCCCCCCCCCCAACATTTTTTGTCTGCCTTTAAACAAGGTGCATCACCAGGTAGAGGTGATGAGCCTAACAGCGATGAGCTTAACTGACTTTTCTGAGTCTTGTAATTTTAATTACAATGCATTAAAATATTAAAATAGCCAATACTTTTTTTATCATTTTCTGTCATCTTTCTAAAATATACAAGTAATGTATAAATGATTTGAGAATTTTTATTATTTTCCAATATTTCAATCTAGTTGTCAATCGTTCTTTCTACAAAAACTTGAACTCAAACGATGCTTCAGGTTAAAACGCACTTTCCTTTATGAGAAAGTTCGAAACTGTGGCTGATGAGAGAGAACTGACTATTATTCAATGAAGAAATGGCGGACAGGTGCTCTAATGAATTCTGAAGATTAATCCATTTATTTTAGTCTTCTACGCCGTGATCACAAAGGTTAGTAGGCATGGCTTTACTAAATGCCCTCAAGAAGTAGAAGAAATCAGTTTTTATCGTAATTCTTTTGTTATTGCTGAGAAAAGAGAAGTGAAATGTACATCATCCTTTGTTTTCAAAGTAGGTCAAGGACCGCGCCGGCTACGTGGTGGCAAATATTTCTTTCCAAGTTCATAGCGTCCTTTTGGAAAAACTATCAATCGTTTATACGACCTGCTGAATGCAGTATCTTAAGTAACTTAGCAAAGACCTTGAAAGTAATTAGCTACGTTGAAGCATGTATGTTTATAATTATTAAAAGACGTTTTTCTCGTACGAATGTTTAAAAAGCCTACCTGTATGCCACAGCAGCTGAAACAATAAGAATGCATTATACGTCTTGGATTCACGGGTATCCCACATCCACATCCAACTCCCTGAGGTAAATTATTCAAAATACACTAAAAGCTTGAGTTTCATTGTATCTAGTGGTGGTTGCATTGTATCTCTTGTTTATATTTTCAGAAAACGATATGCTGAAAATTTCAAAGTTGGACATAAATCTGCCCGTGGAACTGGTGAAGTCTTGTGCAACATTACCAGACAGCCAGTTATGCAAGTTTGTAGCAACAAATCAAGATGGTAAGCTGACATTTGTTCTCATTATCAGCCATATCATGTTAATATGATAAAAAGTAACTTTGTATTTTGAAGAACCTCTGCATCCCTCTTGGATATTATTACAACATATGAGTTTTATTCATCTGTATCTCAATAAGATGATGTAAAGACAAGAGTATCACTTGTAAATTGAACATTTTGCATTAAAATGTTGTAAGTTGTATCCTTTCAGGAAAGAATTTCCAAAGTTTGCCATGGAGATTTTTCTTTGGCACTGATTTTTATGCTTTCCTTGTTTACACCAAAGCAAAACTGTGTTAGTTATTATTGTCAAAGTGAAGTTTTTTTTCTGAATAGATTTCAATCTTAGTTTTCATGATTCTTCCATGTTAACACTGCTCAAATTTGTCTGTCCACATGCCAGCATTAGCTGCCTTGTTTTAAAGGTGGCTCTTTAGTAGCTTTTGCCAGTTATTTTTTTAACAGCACAGTATTATGTAGAGCTGATCAAACAACTGTTTACATAAAAATTACCCTATTTTCAGGGGAGTTTCAACACAGTATTGAAGTGAGGAACAAACAAGATAATGTAATCTCATTGGAGCTGTCAAATTTGGAAATCAGCTATGAAGACGGCAGGTTTGTGGCCCAAATCATGCAGGTCTTCAAAGTGTTCCAGGGTGAATCTATGGGGCAAGACTCTGCTGCCTCCACTGCTGCCGTCCCAAATGCCCCACCTAGACCTTCCGAAGGACAAGGGTTCACAAGTCCACAACACAAGAGGGATGGAATGGCGGGAAAAAAGAAAACTCAGACATCGGAAACTTCATCGTCTAGTGTATCTGTGTCAGATTCAGGAATGTTAAGGACAGCGGATGCATCACAAACAGCTGTGAGTCAAATATCAAATAGACCTTTATATTCTGAACCAAGTCACCATCCAGTGCCGGCAGAGGCACCAGTAGAAAATGTAGTTCTGCCGAGACAAATGTTTAGAAACGTTCATGGTGCTAAAAGGCCCGAACCTAGTGCAGCATTAGGGAGCCCAGTGCATGAAAGCACACCTATGGCATCCAAAAGAATAAGGATAGGAACAGAAGAAGAAAGTTCTCCAAGTCAAGCTAGCCAAACAAATGTCCAGGACTCTTCTCAGCAGCTACCCACTCAAGACCAAAGTGAACATAGTTTAATTCAAGGTGACACAAAACCTGAGCTCATAGAAATAAAAATAGAGTCAGAAGGAGAGGACGATAAATCAGAAGACACTCGATCTGACGGACAGAATCACAGTCAAGATGCATTCCTTTCTCAAAGTTTACCTCCTTCATTTGATAATAATCAAACAACACCTTTTATTCAAGACTTTTACTCATTAACTCAAGATCAGAGTGGTGCAGGACAAAATTTAAGTTCAGGTGCTTTATCATTCCCATCAACATCTAGTCAAGCTTTAGTTCCACCTAATGTTAATTGGCAGCCAGCAGGTGACAGCAGCAGTTCCATGGATCCCCCAGGACAGTCCCCGTCCAAACCTAGAAATGTAAGTGCAGCCATATATTATTTTCTACTTCCTTTGCATTGACCATCCAAACAATGAATAAATGTCAGGATTTATGGGCCCGAGTTGTGAATACAATTTTTATTGACCCAAGTGGTGGAGATTTAAAATACACGTTTATTCCACACTAGTTGAGTCGCCTGAAGAGAAGTGATGATTATTGAAATGCTGTATGAAAATCTGAGATCTTTAAAGTTGTGAAATCAGTCCTGGCAATTTGAGTTGTGAGATGGTCACTCCAGTAGGTGGATGCAAAATGTAGAGAAAAGCAAAATTTGGAGAACAAATTTTGTCAGGGATGAGATATATTTCTGTCTGCTAGAAGATTTTGGACTTTTAAAATCATTTTCGTGATCGATGCAGATCTGAGATAAGGGAAGGGGGTGTAGGGAAGGTCTGCTCCCCAAGCCATATTTGTGGACTTTTTCATGAATTTAAGTCTCATCCCTGCTTTTTGACAAAACCTATTCTCTGATGATAGGGAGATGGACCCTTCATTATATTTCTGTAGTTCACAGAAAAAAAATGAGAATATTGGGCTCAAACTTTTGGATCCACCAAAGCATGATTGTGAAATGTTTGACTCTCCAGTAGTTTGTGATGTTTTTACCCTCTTAAAATACCTGAGGCAAATGTTCAGAAGGTGCAGATCCAGTTGCCTCAGTGTGTTTTTCAGTCTTGGGATGCCACCTTGGCATCAGAAACTTCATTTTCTGTTTTTAACTTTTAAGTTCAGTTGTTATTAGAATGAGCAAGCCTCAGAAAATTAACTTATCAAAATTTAATAGCACAAATTATTTTGATATACAGATCTTTTTAAAAAATAATTTGAGACAAATAATAAAATTTCTACTGCTGGAACTACTAACTTTTCATTTCTGAATACAGAACGTTACATGGAAGCTGAGACAACAATTAATGCATTATTCTAAAATTAAATCTTAATTGAAAAAGCTTTAAAATAAGCATTTCGTATTGAAGAAGTTAGATAACATCTGCTACCATGATGCACTACTGGGGAGTCAATGAGTTATTTTTATATCTAAAAAACTGGTTGGTTTTAGTTCAAAAGATGGGTAAAGCTTTATAATTTGTGTATTTGTTGGTAATATTACATTACATATGGGGTAACTGGTAGAAAGCTTTAACCCCCCCCCCCAAAAAAAAAAATTTTTTTTTTTCTTTTGTCACAGCCAGTTCATTAATTAATAAAATTAGTGGAGCTGCAGAAGAGTGAGCCTGCAGTGAACTAGATTTGCTTTGATTTGATTAAAAAACCAATCAGTTTTTTTAAAATGAATTTTATTATTGCACTGGTATTGAGCAGCAAACACAAAATGAAACTTTCAATGAAGAAAGTCAAATGAGCACACTTATTTTTCAAAATTTATATATTTTGACAAACTTATTTTAGATCTGTAAAGTTATGTGAATTTTTTGTGAGTGCTTGCTCAATAAACTGTTTCATTTTGCGATATACCATATATTATAATTACATTAACTGTCCTGGGCTTTGAAGTGAGAAAAGGCCTGTGAACCAACCTTTATATACATTTTAATCTTTATATCACAGATTTAGCAAAATTTTCACAAATTTGTGATTATCAAAAGCTTTAAAATTTGTTATTTTATATTTGTCTCTCTGTAAGACTTATTTTTGTCAATGATTGTGGAATGGTAGTATGAGCACATTGATTGTAAAATTATAAGAAAATACCACTGATGCAGTAAAAGATGTGAAACTGTTTTTCAACTCCCTACCCATACTTTTGTTCACTGGTCTTTTATATTTAGAAATGCATTATAAAATGTTTTTATAGTATGATGCATGCAATAGTGATTTTAGAGTAAATGTATTGATTGAAACCCATTGCACTAGCCTCACTGGATTAAAGAAAATATGGTTGTCAGTATATGAAGATTCTGCATACACAGCACAGTTCGAATTAATTTATTTTTTTAAATTTCTAAACAAATGTTTTATTAATGGGGGAAAATGTACTGAAATTATCTTGACCTTTCTGTTCTTCTAGATTGATCAAAACATTGGGAAATACCTTGGAAATTGGATACATTTTTCCCAGGAAATTCCCAAAAATTTTTATTACCTTGGCCTTGGTCAAATTCCCTGTGTGAGTTGTCTAGTGCAGTTGGTCACTGATATAAACTGTTGTTATATAAAAATTTTTATATAAAAATGTTTTGATATATTATCTTTGAGGTTCTAAGCCCAGGACAGACTAAAGTGCTCCCACTGAGATATAAAAACTTTAAAGATTGTTCACTTTAACACAAGGAAATGTTAGACAGAAAGCTCACTCAACTGAAGAGCAAGGGGGTGATTTGCTGGGAAATGGTCTTGTCTTGCAAAGCCTGTGGCTGTCTGCCACCAGGTGGAAGCACCTCAGTGGGAGCACTGTTACTGGTGATGCTTGCATGTACAGTCTGTAGGTGCTCACAGGTGTTCACTGGTGTCACAAAACTTTGGCCAGCCAATCTCACATTAATTTTTCCATCAAAATTTACATTTTTTGAACAAATATAATGCTTGAAATTTGCAATGAATTGAAATGAACAGTTGGGTTAAAAATTTTTGTTCCCAATTGTTGTACTCCAAATTTCATCTGAGCCACCGTCCAAGTCTGCTTGTATGGTCAGTATTAGCTACATACGAAGTCTTTTAAGTTTCTTCTGCCCTACAGCTGGTCTTGCAGAATTATATCTAGCAGTAGTAGAAATAAATTGTGATCACTTTTTACTTGTTCAATTTTTACTATATATGTGACTGAATGATCAACAGCTGGTGTCTTGTCTTTCTCTTATTCTTTAAACATGGGTGTTGTAAGGGAGGAGAAAGAACAAGAACTCTGGTTACTTATGATATTGTGCTAACAAGCTTGGTACTTATTCCCCAGTTCAGGGCACTTGATTGTCATGGGTGGGGAATAATTTAAATATGTGCAAGGACAACATAAGCATGGATTGCGGTTTATTAAAATTAATATAATACAATATAGATGATTGCATTACTGTTGACATATAAAGAAGTATACAACATTCTAACTGGAATTGAACTGTAAGAGTTCTTCATGGGATTTGTATTGCTGAAGAAATTGTAAATATGAATTCATATGCTAGGAACTGAATAATGGAGATTTTTGTACATATAAAATGACTTTTAATTGATGCTAAAGTATGTGCTCTTGAAATCAACGCAATTGATGTTCAGCATGTCTCTACAAAGGCTCTATTCATTTATCTGTTGATGGATGTTTGTTAAACTGGGTTTTGATGGGGGGGGGGGGGGGGAGTTGTGTGTCCAGAGTTGACTTGAACAAAGAGGTTGGCACTTCTGATATCCTGTTTGCATCCAGAAACCAAGCATTTCTTCTCTGTATAGGTCAAAAAATGTCAGTAACACAATTTTCATTATCAATAGGGAAGAGGAGGAAATCGGGGGGCCTGTCAGTTGGACTCGAGGCTGACTTGTTCGTTCTGCGATCAGACATTTGCTCACTATAGCAGCAAGTCCCGTCATGTGAGCAAACAGCATAAAATATTTGACAGGTTTCATTGTAAGGATTGTGGAAAACACTACAGTACAGAAGCCTTTCTTAGAAGTCACTTTTGTACAAAATCAGAGCTCACTGGGACCTGCAAACTACGGGAGCTTGTGTGAATTAAGGAGGTGAGAGATTGGTTTCTAGGAAGTATGGAGGAGAAAGTTGGCTGCAGACAAGTTGGTATCCAGAGGAACATGGTTGCTAGATTACATAGTTATTACTAGGGGAAGATACACAACTTTCGCCATCTTTGACTTTTTGAACTTGTAGTCCTGACTGTCTTTGTTTAGGAGATACATGTTACTTAGGGTTTCACTGGTTCATGATGGGAAAGATCTCTATAGTCTCTACGTGAAAGAAACACCTGAATGATGTTGGTTTAATAGATGTGAATGTTAGGGAGACCATAAGAGGAAGTGTTTATGGAACTAACCCAATTTTTCATATATAGAAGCATAAAATATGGAGAAATGTTTTTTAATCAGTTAAAATGAATGTTTTTGAGAGATAACCGCAATGAATATAATGTATAATAGTCTTGTGCATTAAGGGACTGTGAAAAACTACAGACTGACTCTGCCTTTCTTTTGATTTACAAGATGAGCTCATGGCTTGGTCTGATGTGGATGAACATCTAGATCTTCTGAATTTCAGAGCATGAGGAATTCCAAGGATCAAGTTGAGTTGTCGTCAGGAACCTACAAGGACAAACTGCTCTGCAACATTTGTCAGAAAACTTTCTCTTTTCAATCAAATTTAGTCCGTCATTTGCACAATTTGCACAAGCACACGACTCACTTTCCTTGCCACATTTGCGGGAAACAGTACAGTAGAAAAGACAACCTGAGGGCACACCAGAATAATGTGCACTGCCTCAAAGAGAAATGATGAAGCTCTTTAACTTCCTTAAAGATTTTTTTGCAAAATCTACACGGCTTCCATGGATTTTGTTTCTTTTTAGTGGTGATTTTTGCAGGAAATCTTTGTCTTGGCAATAACTTGAGAAACATTTGAAGACTTGAAAAATTGTGATAATTGTTATAAACTGAGGAGTACATTTAGTATTAGAAAGAATACCATTTCATTGTCAGCATTTCTTGCATAATTTGATTTTCATTGCTCCAGTAGTTTTTGCTGACATCAGTCCTGACAAGAACTACAGAAACCTTTCTTAAATCTGAAAGAAAATGAGATCACTATCATGTGAAATGACATCCTGCCTTTGTCATGTTTATCTGAAAATTTAAATATTAATCCGTTCGCAACTACAGACTGGCCATAAGTAGTAGAAAAAACTTTTTCTCTTTTACACTCTGCTATGACTATAGTGAGTGATGAAAAGAATTCGATCAAATTTTTGGAATTTCAGAACTGTGGAATAGCTGCAAATGAAAATGGTATGAGGGATCCTAAGTCCAA